GAACCTAATCCGTCCAGAGTGTGTTTACACTTCGTTGCAGCATCTGTTGTTGTAGGGCGGTTGGCGCATTTTACATTTAAAATTGGTGCCCTTTTTTGTTTAACGTTGCGATGTGCCAAGATGTGTGTGCATCAATAAAATGATCACTAAAATATTTAACCGCGTTGTGCTGGTGACATACTTGTATTTGAAGCTGTGCCATCCGCAGTCACAAGGGACATACCAGTAAGGAGTGCGGTAGCATTCTCCTGCATTAGTGCAGGGCGAGGCCCGCTCTGCAGATATTCCAACAAAACCGAAGGATACGTCTCTATCCTTATTGAGGGGGTTCACTTATGCCTTGCCTTAGAGCAACCTGCATCCGCCTTACCAAAAGTCACTAACCTAGATTCCCTAAAGATGCCTCAGAGTCGAGAGACCAGAGTAGGGGGGGCACCTGACCGCCTTTGTAGCCATATGGTCCTGGGACATCTGACACTTGGGTGTGGAACATGGTGTCCAAGGGCAACAAATGTAAGTTGTTACCTTCACTTTGCTTAAAGCTGCTAAGCTTGCCACTCTCCCTGCAAAGATGGGCAGATCTATAAGCTAATAAAAGGAAATTGCATAGTGGAAAGAAGATACCTACAAATTAAAGCCCAACTCTGGATCTTTTTTTTTCTCCTATGAATGGAGAGTGTCATAGCCCTGAGTGAGTGCTGTGATGACACCATTCTTTTATAGTGTATTCATGGTGTGTGTGCATTCATTCTGACATCTGCTCTGCTCTTTGCATCTTCTGCTTACGCCTGTGCAAGATCAAATGAGGAGAAACCTAGTGTGTGTGTGGGCATCTTAAACACATCCTTTAACCCCTTAAGGAACAGTGATGCGATTATTCAGTCATTGCATTCAAGTTGCCCGTGCCATAAGGACCCATGATGGAATCATTACGTTGTGGGTCCTTTAGGGTTTAACCACTTCCGGGCCGGCCGTAGTAAAAAAACGGCCGGCCCGGAGCTCTCTAGATCTGATCCCGTCAGAAAAAAAGAATAAAACATTTTTTAAAGTCCCCACCCATACATACACGCATGCAAACATGCGTCGGGGGCGCATACGTGCAAAAACGCAGATTGCGCCCATTACGCCGCACATGTTACATATCGCCGCGAACGTCGCAGTGAGAGCAATAAGTCTAGGGCCATCAATCACTGATAACACTAAACTGATGAGCGGTAAAAGCTTTTAAACTGTCGCCTATGGCCAATTTTGGGTATGGTAGTTTTCTGCGATTTCGCGGGTGCGTGCAATTTTAAAGGTTGACATGTTTGGTGTCTATTTACCTGACCTGACCCGGTCTTTTATATTTTACCAAAAAACTGGGTAATGTTTCCTAGCATAATGTACAAAAAAAACTTTTTTTTTTTTCAAAATGTTCTTTTAATTTTTCCTAATTATAGTAAAACATAAAACCCCCAGTGGTGATTAAATACCTCCAAAATAAAGCTCTATCTGTCCCCAAAAAATGGTATAAAATTCATTTCAGTACAGCATTGCTGTAGCTCGCGGTATACTGAGCTTAGGGTGATGGGAGGACCCTAGTTTGTGTCCTCCCGTTACCCTAAGGAGAACTATGGGGAAAAGCCTTAACCCCATAGTTCTCCTTTAAGCTTCCCTCATGCACTATATGAGAACTTTTATATACACATTTCACATCAAATTAAAGCCCTTTTGTCCTTTAACCCCTTCGTGACTGACGACGTACAGTGTACGTCGCCAGCATCGGGGCTGTTTAAACAGACTCCCGGTGACTTTTGCCGCCGGGACTCGGTTTAAACTTGTAGAGTCCGTGCTTCCCGGGCTCCATTGCCCCTCCTACGGGCCCGGGACCGGCGATCTTGGTGTCCGCGGGGAGCTGGGGAGGAGGTCGACGAACTTCCGTTCATCGATCCCCTCCTCGCGCCTACGCATGAAAACGACGAACGCGCTACGGACTTTTTGGGGTACTGAGGTTTTTTGCCGTTTTACGGATGCACGCAATTTGTAACCTGGGCATGTTGGGTATCGTTTTACTTGTTGTAACCTCATCTTTTATATTTCATTAAAAAAATGGGTATTTTGTTGTGTTTTGGGGCATTTAATTTTTTCACTAAATATTGGGGGTTAATAAGGAGTTGCGCTAATATTGCGCAACATAAAAATTTGCAACTACCACCATTTTATTCTATAGGGTCTTGGCATTCAGAAAATATATAATGTGTGGGGGGTTTTAAGTAATTTTCAGGCCTAAAATGTGGAATATAACATGGGTACAAAAAAAATGAAAAAAAGGCCTCAGTCATGAAGGGGTTAAAAAAACAGTATATAATCTATTTTGGTGCAATAAATGAGAAAGATGGAAATTGCGGTTGAACACACAACACAAATTGTTTTGATCCTTAACTGAAAGACAAGCATCTGTAGCTTGGTCCTTAAGGGCTTAAAATGCTACTAAACATGTAACCTCACCACCAGGGTTCTTTATCTGGTAAGACTGCAGCAGCATGCAGGTAGTGTCAGAATTGGGCATACAACGTATGAGAATGTTTATTTTCTTGGCACAGATTAGACTCTCCTTAATATCAGTTGAATGTCGCTGTACTGCCACAGTGTACCTGGGGGTTGTTGCTGACCGTGTGCACACCTGTGATTACCTGCCATGTTTTTGTAGTGGCTATGTCAGCAGGTTTATATAACATGTCAGAGCACACATCAAGCCGGCTTACTGGTTTCATTGACTGTACTGTCCCCAAATCTCAATTTTCCCAGAGCATCTTTGAAATGAGGTGGAATGTGATCTTCGCTGTAGCAAATCAATGAAAGGGCCCACTGTGAATATTCTCAGGGCTGTAATGAAAGAATAGTAGCTCAATATTTTTGCAGCCATTTTGGGTTGGCTAAATACTATTTCTTCTGCATTTATACAGCATTTTGAATCGCATGATATGTTTGTGCAAGAGTTTGTGTTCTTGCTGCAGTTCCTTTTAGGTACATGTGAATCTGGCTGACACAAAGGAGTCTAGATGTTTCATAAATATTCACTTTTTGTGACAAATTGGATCTATAGGTTGGCTTATATCAGAGTTTTTTTTTTTTTCCTTCTTGTCTGCGTAAATGCTGAAAAAAATGTCATCCGAGGATAAAAATGAATGTGTTATTGACCATTTTTTAACCTGTTTACATAGTTTGGTAGCTAAAGTCAGTCAAGCTTATTTTTGACGAATGCAAATCTATTGGAAAATACAACTAATGATTATTTCTAAACATGGGAAGGCTTGTGCTACTTCATTTTTTTTTTTTTTAAGTGGATCAAGCTAGTTTTTAGTTTTGAGGTCCTAGACAGATAAGTTTCATGATACCTTTTTAAGTTTTAATTTCATGAAGATTTGTCATGTTAAGCATTAAAGTTCACGGTATCAGCACATTTAATGACACCAGTTCATATAATCTTATTGTTAGTTTTTTTTAAATTAAAGTACCATTGTTTGCACATTGGTGTATAAAAAAAATCTGCACACGAGACAAAATGAGTGCTAAGATAATATAATTGCCATAGATAAGGGCCTTAAAGCAGACCTTTACCCCCTTCTTTCACTAAAACTCACATTAGCATACAGCTCTGCATGCTGATATGAAGTAATCTTACTTTCAATAGGTAAACAAACATTTTCATTTTACTTACAATTTCTTGTTTTCTACTTCCTTCCTTCTACTTCTTTTTTGGCACAAATGATTTAATCTTGGCCAAGCATTGAATCCTGGGAAGGTTACATCAGCAGAGCATTGCTGGGAAACCTAATCTGTAATCTCATGAGATGTCAGGGAAATGCATTTTCCTCACCTTCAGATAATGTCCATGCTCACGTGTGCCAGAGTTCCAGGAAGTAAAGAGATATATTAATCTGTCCTTTTAGTAAAAATTGGCTCCTGTGAAAAGAATGCGTTCGAATGTAAGGAATAAAAAGCCCACAATCCTCTAAGTATCTTGTTTGTAGATTGTCATTACTAAACCTTCCTAAAGGTGTGTTGTCATTTCAAAGACATGGGTAAAGTTTAAGTTGACTAATAACATAACAAACGAATTCACAAACCAATGGTGTGGCTTCTTGCTGTGAATTAGTGCTAATTAGTTAGTTTCAGCTATGTGGGTTTTGATTTGGAGCAAAAAGGTTTTAATAAAAAGGATATGGCAGCTGTAATTGCTTGTTAGAATGAAGATTTATGCCTTATAAATGTATTTGTAGAAACTTTCAGTCACAAATTTTGTTTGGAAAATGTAAAAAATATTTTCTCACATTTCCCCTTTTTCTTACACTAATTTTGTTTTGGTTTATATATTAAATTCTTTTTTTACTGTAATTGAGTGAACAGTCTGCCGTTTAAGATTCTTTCCTATACTTCCAAATCGGCTAAACAGAACATCCTCTTAGACCTTTGCCAACTGCTTGGGCACTTTTCTCAGTTTAACCCCTTCATGACTGAGGCCCTTTTTTCAATTTTTGCACCCATGTTATATTCCACATTTTAGGCCTGAAAATGACGTAAAACCCCCCAACATTATAAGCTAAATGTTTGCATCTGAAATGCTTTGATTTTGCTGCTAAGCCCTTCATCCTCTATGATGTCTATTGGATTCTGCTGTTTAGTGGTGAACTTCACTTCCCTATTGAAATTGTAACACTGATGATTACGGCTCAGTGTTGAGTACTGTTGTTCCCCCAAAATTACCAATCATTCTCAAATCTGCCCTAAAATTGCTCTTGACATTAAAATGTTAGTCTGATTTGGCATTTGTGGGAAATGAGCACCTAGTAATGACACATGAAACCCAGCTTGTTATAACACATTCCTAGTACAATTCTAGCCATGCTCTATATTTCACTGACATTCCTTTTACTTAAGGCTTAACATTATTTGATATATTGTGTAGTATATTGAGAAGTAATCTAATCCAAAGACCTTTTTGTTTTTTCTTCCTTTAGAGCTTTCCATCTGATGAAGGCTGGCCTTTTGCTAAATACCTGGGAGCATGTGGAAGAATGGTGGCTGTGAATTATGTAGGTGAAGAGCTTTGGAGTTTCTTCAATGCTCCATGGGAAAAGCGTGTGGACCTTGCATGGCAGCTAATGGAAATTGCTGAGCAACTCACAAATAATGACTTTGAATTTGCACTTTACCTCTTAGATGTCAGCTTTGACAACTTTGCAGTTGGACCTCGAGATGGAAAAGTAATCATCGTTGATGCTGAGAATGTTTTGGTAGCTGATAAAAAATTAATAAAACAGAGTAAGTGTACCTTTTTAAAATTGTGCCTAACTTTGAAGGCATTGCAGCTGCTAAACTCCTGAATGACCTATTTTGTCTACATATGCAAGAGGAAGAAAGCTGTGATCTGGATTGTTTTTTGCAGCTTATAGATGTACTATGAAATATGGGTGCATGCCGATTGCTTCGTATATCACTTTTTCTCTATTCCACCTTTACCCAGTTTGTGTGATTCTGTTTTGGAAGACTAGTTATCACTTTTGCTGCTACATTTCTTATTTCAGTGTTCTAAAACCATGGGAGTGCAGGTCACTGAAAAGGGGTATTAGGAATTCACAGTTAATGTTTAACCACTTGCTGACCGGGGTGTTAAACTCCCTTCCTGCCCAGGCCATTTTTCAGTATTCATCGCTGCGGTACTTTGATGTTAGTTCATTCATGCAATTCTGTACTGAAATGAATTTTATACCAATTTTTAGGGACAGATAGAGCTTTATTTTGGTGGTATTTAATCACCACTGGGGTTTTTATTTTTTTACTATATAATGAAAAAAGGACCGTAAAGTCTGAAAAAAAAAGTTTTCCCTACGTTGTGTTATAAAATATTTATTACCCAATTTTTTGGTAAAATATAAAAGATTGGGTCACGTCGGGTAAATAGACGCCAAGCTTGTCAAGCTTTAAAATTGCGTGCGCCCACAGAATCGCAAAAAACTACCATGCCTAAAATTGGCCATAGGCGACTCTTTAAAAGCTTTTACAGTTTACGCTCATCAGTTTAGTCATGTCAGTGATTGATGGGCCTAGAATTTTTGCTGTCACAGCGACCTTCGTGGCGATATGTAACATGTGTGGCGCAATCGTTGTTTTTGCACGTTGTTTTGCACGACGCGTATTCACGTATATAAGTGCGTTGGGGCGGGGGACTTGAAACTTTTTTTGCTGTTTTTTTTTTTTTTAATATGAAACTTTAATAATTTTTTTTTAAAAACTAATTTTTTACACTTAACTTGATTGTTATCACATAGTGGGGCTAAAAATCCCCCAATGTGATAGCTATAAAAAAAATGACAAGTCCTCTTAATGGAGACATCAGGGTCCCCAAGAACCCTAATGTCCCCTAGGGACCCCCAAAGAAGCTGATGAAGCAGAGCTCTTTCATTTTACTTACCCATCTTCTCTGGCTCCCAGCCAGAGAAATAACAGCTAAAGGTGGAAGTGATGTAATAGACATCGTTTATGACTTTAGAGAGAGAGAAGGAGAGATCAGCGGTGGGAAATGCTGATCTCTCTTCGAGCAGCCGCTGTGCCAGTCCTGTTCGTCCCGGGCACTGCAGGGGGGACAGCGGTGCCCGGGATAACTGGCAGCAGCACTGGAGGGGCATGGCAGCAGGGGGGGGGGGGCACCACACAATTTAGGGTTATACAAGTGATCGACCCCACCGGGATGGATCCGCCGTCTGCCCATAATTTTACGATGGGCAGACGGGAAGGGGTGAAAGATGGCCAACAATGAACCCCTTAGTGACCGAGGCCGTTTTTTGTTTTTTATACTCGTGCCCATGATACAATCCACATTTTAGGCCTGAAAATCGCTCCCCCCCCCCACATTATATATTTTCTGAAAGCCAAGACCGTGTAGAATATAAAATATTGGCAGTTTAAAATTTTTACGTTGCACGGTATTAGTGCTTCGTATTATCAAACCACAAAATGTAGTGCAAATTGACCTTAAATGCCCCAAACACAATTAAATACCTATTTTTAAAATTAAATATAAAAGATGAGGTTACAACGAGTAAATAGATACCCAACATGCCCAGGTTAAAAATTGTGTGCGTCCGTGAAACTGACAAAATCCAGTACCCCAAAAAGTCCATATGACGCTTTAAAAGCCCCCACAGATCATCAGTTTAGAGATGCACATAAATATTGTCCTTAGAATTATTGCTCTCACTCCGGCGTGCATCGCGATACCCAACATGTGTAGCGCAATCATCGTTTGCATACGTAGGCACATCCGGCGCGTGTGCGCGCGGAAGACTTTAACATTTAACCACTTCAAGACCAGGTGTTTAGACCCCCTTCCTGGCCAGGCCATTTTTCAGTATTCAGCGCTGCGGTACTTTGACTGACGTAATTTTTACATTCATTTAATATTTAATTTTAAAAACTTATATTTTTTTCTACTTTAATTGCTATCTCATAGGGGGGCTTACAAGCTCCCCATGTGATAGCAGATTGGCAGTGACAGGTACTCTTTAAGGTAATGCTGGGGGTCTAAAAGACCTACAATGCCACATTTACACTCCCAATAAGCTATTGAAGTGCAGATCGCACTGCAATTGCTTATAGCTGGACTTCAGCAGCCCAGCACTGACAGCTATGGGACCGGACGTGATGTAATCTGCTTCGCTCCCGGTCCCATAGTACGGGGAGGGGATCGGCGAACGGAGGTTCGCTGATCTCCTCCCCAGCTTCCCCCAGTCACCAGAGAAGCCGGTCCCGGGCCCGTAGGAGGGGCAACGGAGCCCGGGAAATGCAGGGGGAGAAGCGATCGGGCGACAGCTGAGTCGCCTGATCGCTTCTATTGTAAAGCTGACAGTCGGCTTTACAATTTGTAAACGGAGTCCCAACGTTTTTAGCTGCCGGGAGTCTGTTTAAACGGGCCCGGTGCCAGTGACTCAGTATGGTTGTCACTGGCCACTAACAAGTTAAATTGTTATAAAATTTGCACATTATTCAAATCTGAAGAAGAGCACCAAACAGGTTTTCATTCCACACGTTCGTTGAATGTAATCGGCATGTCCTAATGAATCAGCGGTAAATATTCAACATGACTGGATGATTGTTCTAGGGAAAAGACATGTCGCAATGTATACTGCCATGTAAAAATACACGGGCAAATTGGCACAAAACCAAGCCGTTAGTTGAATTTTCAGTAAAGAGAGCCGCATCATTTTGTCAGCTTGCTTCTAGATTGTGCCCATATTTGTCATGTCCTGTGAGTTCACCACCTGCTCCTCTACGAGACAAACATGATTGATTGGTGAAGTCCTACAAATTAATCTTTTGCTTTCTTGCCCATATGTGGAGAATGATAAACTGCTTTCTTTATCTAGCCATGTTTTGTGAAGCTGCATCTACATTTTAGCAGCTGTTTTGTATATGCAGCCTTTTTTAATCTAATATCTCCTATCCATTTATACATACGACACATGACAATGCTGTAAGTGGTTTATGATAGTCTATTTTACAATTTGGCAAACCATCTTGGGTGGGTACAAGTATATGTAATAGCTTGTACCTACCCACAATGAGATACTTAGGTGAGAATAGAGCCATGTTGATGGCTTGCACTAAAAATGGGCAGTAGTAGTAGTAGGGTGGATGAGATATTGGTCTACGGTCAGTCCTATACAGAGAATTGCATCATAGCTATAAAGCTAACATAATGAACTAATCGCATGCAGCTTGTGTAAATATCATGATCCGAAGACTAAAGCAGACCATTTCGGTTACGCTTTGATTGCACAACCTCCTTTAACAATTTTATATGAACTGATTGAATTGTAGTTAGCCCTCGCACAACGCGGTTAGCACTAAGGCCTTGTTCACACCGGAAGCGTGTGCGTTCCAGAGCGGGAGCGTGGCTGTGCATTGTATTCAATGGTACCGCTTTCACGCCCCCGCCTGCAGTGCGATAGAAACTTTGCCAGCGTTGCGTTCCACTGCAAACGCAAAAAATCGTGCTTGCCCTATTTTTTAGCGTTTGCAGTTAAACGGAACGCTGGCAAAGTTTTGCCAGGCGTTCTATCGCACTGCGGGCGGGGGGTCGTGGAAGCGGTGCCATTGAATACAATGCACCGCCACGCCCCCTCCCGCCCCAAAAAGCGTGGAGAAGTTTCACAGCGATCGCGGTGCGTTCCAGCAGCTACCGCTCTGAAACGCACACGCTTTTGGTGTGAACAAGCCCTAAAAGGAATTTCAATCTCTGTACTATACTGTTTGTATATTTTGTGGATGGCATTACGGTGTGCAGTATTGATTAAAACAACTTCAGGATAACTTTTTATTAGCCCTTGCAGTTGGGCTACCCCCCGCACTGCAAGGGTGAAGTGCTCGTTTGTCTTGGTTCAAAAATAACAGTTATACTCACCTAGAGCTGCAACAGTTAATCGATTTAGTCGATTAAAATCGACGATTGAAAACGTTGGCACCGTTTTCGATCGTCGATTCGTCGGCTATCGATTGATTTGCCTGTTCGGGGCTCCACATGCGGCCTGAGCCGCACGTCACACGCTGCTCTACCTGAAGATCCAAGCCAGCCAGCTGTCACAGCGCTCCCTCCAGCCTCTCTCCTCCTATCTGCAGCATTGGAATGTTCCTCTGTGTCCTCACGTCTACTATATACACTTTCTATAGAACAATGTAATTTATGGGAACTTAGACCACTGCAGAGGAGAAGGGGAGAGAGTTTAGAAGGATTGGCCTCAGCTTGCTCTGCAGTTCAGGTGAGTAACTTTTTTTTTTTTGTATCACCTACACAAAAATAAGCAGTCATCCCTAGCAGTGTGGGGGTAACCCCACTGTGCAGGGGTTAGTTAAAAAAAAAAAAGAATTCCGGAGCATATTAAGATGTTAATGAAGGGTTGCCACCATTGACTTGGAACAAGCATTTACATAAGGGCTTCTCATGTTAGACATCATGAGGTTACCGTAAACGGATGCCAGTGGATCAGTATAGCAGCCAGCTAACTGGCCCTTTCTGTCATCTCTCTTCATGATCTTACAGGTTTGCTTTAAACTACAAGCTACCTTTAAGCGATAGATGGTCCTGAGTTAGGTTTGTTAGCTTCCATTGCTTCATTACTTTTTCCTCTAAGTGCTGGTTGCCTGGCTGTCATACTGATCACTGACTGGCAAAAAGTAACCAGCCATCTTGTGATATTCATATCTTTATCTGGGGATTGTTAAGGTGTAAAGCAAGGGTAAGTTAATTTACAAAAGTGTTCCACATCAAACAGGTCACAGTTCCGAAGTGAACAGAGATACTTCATTTCACTGCACTTTGCCTACATAAGTGTACATAATATGTAGTTGTACTATGGATCATTTAACCTATTCATATTAGCAGGGGAGAATTGTAAATCTATTGCTGCAGTGTATTCTATATGTAGTACATGTACAGTACATATAGAATACTGCAGCAATAGATTCTTGTTGTTCACACAACACTAAACATCCCACTTAAGCCCAGGCCCTCACTTACTGTTGCCTCGATCACGGTGCCTCACGATTTTCCTCACACGTGAGGAAGTCGTCGGCGCTGAGCTGAAGAGGAGCGTCGCGCCACTGCTGCTCCAGTGGGCGGCGCTCCGAGTGGGGCCCCTCTGGTCAATCACCGGCCACCTAAATTAGGACCCCACCTGGAGCGCCACCCACCGGAGCAGCAGTGACGCGACGCTCGGCAAGGTCAGTAAAGGAAAAAAAACATAGCGCAAGCTTCGTTACTTCTTGCACATATCTTCGAGTAATGGTGACTTCTATTATGGACTGTATCTAACACGGCGCCATCCGTGTTGTCACTTCAAGCACCAACCTCTCATCCAAGGTCTGTACGCTGTATGGAGTGAAGGTGATTCGTATTATCGACTGTCTTCAGAAGAGACCCAATTCTAGTTTACCTTGGGCAAACACATTTTAGCACTGTAACTAATATTTTAATTAAAATGTTTATGAACTATATTGTATCATGTATATACAACTTTTAATATATCTTCTCTGCTTTTCTAGATAAACCAGAAAACTGGGACGTGTGGTATGAAAGCAAATTTGATGAGTGTGACAAAGAAGCTTGCTTGTCCTTCTCAAAAGAAATTCTTTGTTCCCGAACTACCGTGGACCATAACTACTATGCTATTTGCCAGAACCTCTTATGTAGACATGCTACCTGGCGTGGCACTTCTGGGGGTCTCCTCCACGACCCTCCAGCAGAAATTGCCAAAGATGGCCATCTCGAGGCACTGCTTGATGAATGTGCAAACCCAAAGAAAAGATATGGCAGGTTTAAAGCTGCTAAGGAATTAAGAGAATACCTTGCACAGCTAAGTAATAATGTGAGGTAGTCCATACTGTTTTGTCCTTTTTATTTTTTTTTTCTGTCTAGCAAATAAAGTGTAATTGGCTAGAGCACGTACCAGCTTAAATTACTGTTGTATAGCCAGGCGTTTTAAATAGAAGCTTTGTAAATGCCATGAAATTAAACTGAAGTGGAAAGCAGAGTGGTATCCAATCCTTTGCAATCAAGCCAGGTACGTGTTTCTATCTAATTAAAACTTAAACTACTATTGATTTTTCTCTCGGATTACCCGAGAGGCAGATCACATGAGATCTCCAACTGACTGGAGAAAAACGGACTTTAGTAGCCTAATTGATTATTCATGTGTCAAATAGTAGTTGACAATGGCATATTACATTGGTATCACAATTTTTGTGAAGCTGATGCCTTTACTTGGAAAGTTCAAGTTAAGACTGCTGGCCTGTTTTAAAGGCTTTTTTTCTTACATCATTTCATATTTGTATGTTGAGGCACCGATATTTTGTTCCAGCTCTTGATTTTTTTTGGGGGTCCCCTCTCTGTTGCGTCCTGTTTCTTAATATCTTTTTTTACATATGCTGTAAATATATTCCAATTCTGCATTAAAATGTAGTCATTGTTTAGTTTTCTTTAAACCATTTATTTGACTTGACCCTTTTTCTCTCATTATCGTCTCCTGCTGATATCGGTGCACTCAAGCTGTGGTTCTGAATGATGCACATAAATGCACACCAAAAATCAAAACTCCTGGGCATAGACTTACAGGCTAAGGTTTGGTAAGGGAAGTTACTGCCTGTTTTACCTCAGTCAATACAAGGCATATTTCAGCATCTGATGCATATCTCCAATTATCTTTGGTTGTACATTGTAAAGCAAACTTACCAAGCTTAAGATGATCTAACTGAAATTATGTAGGACTGATATAGTGGCTTGAGCACATGCAATTCTATATCGAGATGTGTTTTCTTTTAAAATTGTTCTTAAACATTCTTTCTGGCGCTCTTAAAGGTAACATAATGTAGATGCTAATTTTTTAAATGTCAGTCAGTGCTCTTTATTGACCATGAGTAAACAGTGACAGTAAAACTACCACACAGTGTTGCTTCTGGAGTTGAAATTGTTCTTATACCGAACAGTTAATCTTTTTGCTATAGATATCTCACACAAATACCTATTGGTTTCATTTAAAAAGGGTTTTACACGAAAACCTTTCCTAGCTTAAAATGTTACTAAGATGGCCACTCTGCAGTGTATGAACCTTGTAGTACTTGCATTAGTCTTCAAGTTGATACTTGTGAAGCCCCTTCAATCCTTAGCCAAGGCTGTACATGGGACCTCGACTTCTGCTGATGTGGTGATTGTACTTGTACACTTTGATATTCAACTGTCACATAGGTCCCTGGAGCCGCTACAAGGTGCCTGCGTTTTAATCACTTATTGCAGGGTTTAGGTCTGCTTTAATATCATGTTACCCCAGGGAATAAGCAAGTATTCCACTAGTAGGGTAAAACCACTTTAAAGTGAAGCTGCCACAGTTCTTGGTCAACAAACTTTAACAATCTCGTGTGACTGCACACGTTATTGAAATATTAAAAAAGATTCCCAAGAACCCTCAGACCAAGAAACGCCCTATATAGTAATCTCCACTTTCAGGTTTTTGCTACATCTTCCTGCTGTGGTCATCTAATAACTTTAAGCATGCGAAGACCCAGGAGGCTGCATATTACTATGCACTAAGGTTCCCTTCCAGGAAGCGGCATTTAATTTAAACTATTTAGTTAGGACTTCCAGTCATGTTCAAAACGTGGGCTTCGTCAACAGAGCAGGAAGATGTTTGGAATTAGGAGATCCAATGGAAACCTTGGAAGTTGGGTATTGGTTCACACTAAGTGATTGGAGCCCTGTGTATCAGGAAAGCTATCTTTTATTAATAAAGGTGTGTGTTGAAACCTTGAGCTGCCTGCTTTCACGTTGCATAATAAAATTTGTGAAGCGAGTCTTACAAGTTCACTTCTAAGTTATCTATTTTATGTGTCACCTTGAAAACCTATATATAATTCACCTATGCTATATGACTTCAGTTTTGTTGCAGCTCTGAAACCATGGTCCGTTATGGGGCTGCAAAGGAATATAGTGCTCTACTCCCATTGCACCAGTTTAATGCATGTTGATTCAACATCTGTAGCATCTTACAGTAAAAACCGGAATGGGCCTCGAATTATAGGGCCTTGGAAACCTCACTCAAGCATGTTTCTACATTTGGATCTTAAAAGGGCAATTTCTTTAACACGCATGCTTTTTCATAATATACATACTGTATATAATATGGCTCAGAATCTAGTGAACTTTTTTGCATTTATGAAAAATTTGCAAAAGTAGAGACAATTAGTACACCAATATTGTCTCCCTCTAAAATCTGGTTAGAAGGGTAGGCTTACGGCAGAAAAATATTCAACTTAACGACTATTCACTTGTGCCACTGAGAGATTAATAAATAAGCTAACAATTTAATAAGCTTAGCCTTGAAAACCAAAATGTCAAATTAGTTGCTATAACAACTTTTTTCAGTGCCACAGTGTTGGTGGCTGGCAATTATTATTCTCCATAGCACAGCTCTATTCCTCCTTCTGCCCCCCACCCATAGCATAAGCACTGAAATTCACATAAGGTAGTATATGTGGAAAGCTCTCCTTACCCAGCAATATTGGCAGGTAATAAAACGCAGAAGAGAAAATATTGCCAGCTCTACATTACTCAGAACATGTTTATACTATTCAATGTTTTGCTGAAGTTGATGTGCATAATCTAGAAGGCACTGAAATATTCTAATTTAAAAAATCCACAAGCTATTGGGGATGATAATATAAACTTACAGGGAGAAGAGTTCATGTAAGGAGCAATAATTGTATTTCTTACTTTTCACCTGATATATTGTTGTAAATGGCAAAATACACTTCTTATTTTAGTATAGTTTCACTCAAATGTTGAAATTTCTGTGGAATATTTTGAAAGCGCAATTACAAGGTTTGTATGTGCACAATCAGTCTTTTTGTATTGAAAATTACCATTTAATTAAATTTTTTCATCAGAATGGTCTTCCTGTGCCTTTACATTAAAAGACTTGTTTCTACATCTTTTAATGCAATTGATTAATAAAGAATAGTTTGATTCAGAAGTGCCCTCCTTTCTTGTTGACAGTGATTGTGGGTTTGGATAGAAGATGGAATAATGACATAATCACAGCTGCACATTACTTATGATGTGAACAGACATCTATGGCATTTGTCTTATCTGAGACGCACACAAATAATTAAAAAGAAAAGTTGAAATTCTACTTCAAAAATACATGTTTATTATAGAATACCTTGTCCAGATTGGGCTATAAATATAGCACCCATTAAAAAATTACGTTTCACTTTAGGAGAATATACACATTTTATAACCCATCTCCAGGAAGAATCGTCAACGACCATCCGTCCAATGGCTCGTGTGCAAATGCAAAATTTTGTGCATCCCTCTTGCCCATGCAAAAAAAACTTCTTAAGATCGATCTCTTTTAGATTATTTAAGTTTAATAAGGGGGGGGAGAAATGTGTGTTCAGGCATAGCATAAGATGTGCAACTCTTCTCCCTTAGTGAATTGATCTTATCGTGGCTGCTGGCCAGTGGTAATTTTGACAGCAAATTTCAAGTTTATTTTTAGCGCAGTCTTTTGACTAAAATGCCATTTAGTTTTAGTCCTCTGAATTGTTTTGGGTTTAGTCTACTAAAATCTAGTGGGTTTAGGTAAAGAGTCATTTTAAGAATTTCTCAAGAATTTCCAATCTCACTATGTACTCCTGGAGTAAACATCTGTTAACCTGTTATTACTTATGGTATTACGGTTTGAACATGCAATGCAGACACAGATTTAACTGTTGTGATATAACATGTTTTTATCTTAAAATTAGATTAAACCAAATCTTATAAAGAAACAATATTGAGTATATTGAACAAAGAACCAGAAATTAGATATGCATTGATTTATAACAACTTGCATATGACATTCTTCATTCTTTCAAGCAGAAGTGCAATGCTAAAATGAAAAACTATATTGGCTGTAATGCCATTACACATATGACCTATTAGCTGTCCTTTCAGGATGGAACCGGAAGGTCCAAAAAGATTAGTTCTGATTTGGATCGCTTCCTAACATTTTAGTCTAGTTTTAATTAGTTGACTGACATGTTAATATATTTTAGTTATCATTTTAGTCATAACTTGGTTTTCATTTAGTTTTAGTCACTTAAAGAGTGTTGTTGACGAAGACTATGATGAAAATTATTAGTTGACAAAATTAATACTGCTGCTGGCGGATGGTCAGCACCCCCCCTTTTTTTTTTGCATATCACAAAATGTAAAGGCTACCATTACTGAATGCAGCCTGAAAAAGCCAGTTCTGTCACGTTGATCCTTTTGTTACATGGTGTTACTAATCCAAAAACTTGTGCAAAGCAGAAGTTCTGACTTCATGAGCTATATATGTGTTCTGGGTCACTGATTTACTTGGCCATACACGTTTAGAATTCCAACAGTGGCTGGCCCTGCTGACTTGACAACGTGATTATGTAATAACATTGTGTCAAAGGAGCCAGGCCAAAAATTTGTAGGGAAACACTGACTGCAAGAAATCAGCTGTTACTTTCTTTAATGTAGACCATACACTGAATAAAATGAATCTATTAGTGTATAACAAGCTTTAAAGTATTAAAACCAGAGAGCAGCACAGCTAGCATTTTCAGAAGGTCCACAGTGGCAGCCCTTGTTTGTCTTGTGACAGGATTTTTCTCAAGTGAACATCTCACTAATTTTTAGACTGTTAGAAGTAAGTATGCACCACAAAGTACAGAAAAGGGACTTAACCACTTCAAGACCAGGTGTTTAGACCCCCTTCCTGGCCAGGCCATTTTTCAGTATTCAGCTCTGCGATACTGCTCAGACATGCAAGGGGGCGTGTCTGAGCGGACGTCTAGAGACGCCCGCTCAGATCGAGAGAGCTCCTGGCCGGCCGTTTTTTTACTACGGCCGGCCCGGAGGTAGTTAAAGGATAAGTTCACCTTTTACAAAAATTAAAGAAATGCATAATATATGAAACAATATGCATTTCTTTAATTTGCATTCAAGCCTGGAAAGCATTGTAATCGTGTTTACTCGATTTAAATCTCATCATATGGTGTCCAGCCGTTCTCCCTCTAGGTAGAGCTTGCCCATTATTCTGAGCTTTGCAGCTATGATCACAATTGCAATGCTTTCCAAGCATGAATGCAAAAATTAAGAAATACATATTTTTTAATACTGTATTGGGGATATTTCCCTTCACTCCCTGTCCTGTAATGAAAGATGAAGTAAGTGACTAGGATAAGTTCTTCGAGGAAGTTATATGTGCAGACTGCCCGCACTGTTATTCTGGTCAGAAGGAGGAAATATTTTGGATTTTTGATAGTTGTAGGAAATCATAGATGGCTACAGATTAAAGCAAGGAGATCATTTTTATGAACATAGTTACATTTGTTACTTTTTTTTATATGAAAGTGGAGTTCTGTTTTAGGGCACTTTCACACTATTGTGCTGTGCTAAAGCATTTGCTATTGTGTGTGATGCGGTGCCTTTCATTCTGAATGGCATCTTACACTGCTTGCTAATAGACATGCTTAAATTTGCGCTGCATTGAGCTGTTAA